GGCATTTAGCTCAAAGCACTACTGTGTCTAAGTACACCCTCACAGAGCTGCTATCATGGCTGCTGACGTTTGGTCTTGTTTTATAATTACTAGGGTCGTAGAAAAAGATTGTGCCATGGAAGAGCGTTGAGCTGCAGTATTTACCTCTTCCTACTCCACATGACACTAACAATATTTTCAGGAGGCACCTTTGTGTTGACGTGTTATCACACTTCCCACTCTGGTTTGTTCAAACATTTAAAGAGTGACTCAGCAGATGTTCAGTGATACAGAAAACTTGTTCAAACTGAAATGTCCTGAGAGAGAAACTGCTTTACTAAACTGACCTAAAATGCTGTTCTTTATACCTCACATTATGGTGCACAGAAAATTAGATATTCCCTGCATTGTTTTCAGTTAAATTTTTTAGCAGATGGCCAGCAGATTTAGTTTTATTCCACTTTTGGATGCCAGGGTTGTGGAACAATGCTAGCTGCAGTTTTAATACAAAATGTGTTAGTTTTTCATTAAATCAATTGTTTATCATAATCCAACCCCCTTAAATATGAAGACCTACTAAAGGAGACCCAAAAGGATTTCTGTTGAGTGGACAATTTCTCAAAGATTTCATGTGAGCAGCCCCACATCAGATTTATATTTGGGCAAATTTACAGCATCTCAATTAGTGGATTGTGGAGCTCTTCTCTGTTGCAGACTCACTTTGTGCTTCTGGCTGATAAGACTGATGTATTATAAAGCTTTGCTGCTGCAGCTTGTAGGAGAATATAGTTTGGAAATATGTCTCATGTCTTCTTCTTCCCCTGGACATCCATGCAGCACTGCAGAATACAGTTTCAGAATGTGCTAATTATGTAATATTTCCTCTCCTTCCGCTGCACTACACACTGCGCTGAACACACACGTTCACCTGTGCACACATTAGCACAAAAGCACCTGTGCATGGCAGGGCTCTGTGTGGCAGAGCAAATATGTCTGTTCCCACGACAACAGCAGATGATAGAGTCATTATAACAGGACGAAGAGATTACACAGTGCAGCGCTAGCTGGCGCAGAAAACCACACATCCCATCAACGACATCAAAGAAATACTAAGAGACTGGCTGGGGAAAAAAATACCCAATGACATTTTTTTACTGTTTTAGTTATTTAGGGCTGAGAAAGCAGTCAAGTTAATATGCTCTCTGTAGGCCTGCAGGTCATCTCACTGAGTCCCTGTAAATCCCTGTTAATTCCTGTATTTATTGCCTTGGGAATGTAAGGACACAAATTGATGTTTTGATATGACATCACTGTGGGCGTGACTTCATTGCTGATCCTTTTAATATGCTGCTTTCACGACTTCCTGTGTGGGTGTTATCACTTACGAGACTTTGGACATCACATTGCTGTGAGCCATCATGGAGACGCTCATCTGTCCAGTTTTAAAGTTAAAAAGAGGATGGCAAATCTAATCGGAAGTACACAAGTGTGGTGACCCTGCAGTTGGCGGCTGTTGAATCGATACCTAATACACTCCAGTCTGATTGCAGCGGGGAGAGGCTGCTGAGAGCGATAGTTGCACACAAACCTCAAATGACTCGTCCAAGCAGAAAATGTTTTCTTAGTTGATATTATGTCTCTGAGTATTAAACATAATGTTGAAAGATTATCTACAGAGCAGACTTGTGGTAATCAGTCGAGTTGAAGCACAAATCAAATGAAATTTGTCATTTCTTCGCAGCTGCCACTGTAGTTTATTATGTCCTAATTACTCCGTGTGAGCACATTTAAACAATAAGAATCAATATCAATTAATTTGCTATTTTTGAGGGAAGGAGGAGGGAAGACAGATGGCATGGTAGAATACAAATCTGTCCTCAGATATAATTTTGGGAATGTCACAAGCACGTTTTGCAGCCTCTCTACATGGTGTTTACTTTGACCGTAATTGATTTTTCACAAGCAGTATGCAAAGGGTCTTTAATATTTTCCCCTCTTGCATGAATTAGATTCAATTCTGTGGGAACACTGAAGACACATGTTCATGTTAATCTGCTATCTGTGTTGTACCAGAGCGTAATGCAGATTTGTGCATTTACATATTTCTAATAACATTGCTCATGTTGTTGATAGAAGCTGCTCTCCCTTTGTGTGTGTATGTGGAAATAATGTGCACACTGCTGCTCAATGTTCAAGGAATTCAATCAGCTCATTTGCAGTCTGCACACGCCAGCGACACAGTGGGCTGCTGCTGACCTGCAGCTGATCCTTCAGCTTCCTGCACAGACCTCAAACTTTAAGTATCAACCACTGATTCTGCATGTTTTAGTGTATTTAAAAGCGCCTATGCTTAATATTTGTGCTTACCATTTTCCAGAGCATGCCACAGCGTTTTAGATTGAATTCTCTACCCTCAAGGCAGCACACTGGTTCCCAGTACAGCTCACTACGACTGGTAAAGACTTGTGGTTTGTTTTAGTACAAGCAACATTACTGTTTTTTTTTCTGGAACTTTCAACCAAATCTCATGGTCATTGTGTGATCTAAGTACAGAACTTCAGTCACATGACAACAGGTGGTCATATATGGGAAGGAGATTGTAACCCCGGTCTCTGTTCATAAGCATTGTTGCTGCTGGGCGCTGTACTGCAACATTTATAATCAGTCAGTGCCTATAGTATACTGTACATGATTTATAGTTAAAGAGCAACTCCACACTAGACTGTGGAAGGAGAATAATTCAAGCTGCTCTGGCCTCTGTGGTAGAACAGACCCAGCTGTGATGTAGCATGGTACTATAGTGCCACACAACGTCACTGCTGCGCAGGGAGCGGGACATCAACAGTAGTTGGCAGGAAAAGCTGGATTGTTTGACCGCGTGAATTTATTCTGTAAGGTTATGACCAGCTGTATATAAATTGCTTCCTCCAACTCATAACAAATGGGGTAACATCTTGGAATATTTCTTTAAATTGAATCAATTTAAGGACAAGTAGGATGACCAAGATTATACTGTATATCAACAAGTATTTAGTCATGGTGGTAAAGGTTGGATTTTTCTTCCACTTCAACAGATTTTGCTCTAAATTAGGTGGCCACTTTAATACCGATGCTTGGTCTGAGATATAATCTGTAGTTCTTTTCCAGCGGGCAACAAGGCTGCAGTGGATGCTAATCTTCATGTTGGTTCCAACTGCTTTTATTTTATCACAAACAAGATATATCGCTACCCTTAGTTGCATTCGTAAAATGACACAAACTGTGCATCATGTAATTTAGTCAAACAAAAAGAAGTTTTTTTTTTTGTTTTAACACAAATACTGTACAGTACATGGTGGAAAAGTTTTTTTTTTTGTTATTCTACATTCACATCTGTTTACATTACCTGAAGAAAACTTTAAGCTGCATAATTTAGCCTAATTGGAGGCAGCGGGACAGGCTGAAAACACAACACTGACATATTATTACCTGATAAAGACACAGAAACACATTAGTGATTAAACACATTAACCATTCAGAGTCGTGTTTCTGGTCACCTTGTGAATGTAATTCCATTGTGTACTCTCCTTTTTGCTCTGTTCTGGACCCCACTAACTCTTGAGAAAAAAATCTGGCTGTTCAGCTGCTACATGCTCCACTGTGTTCACCAGTTAGTTGTTAACTGTGTCCGTCTGCCGGGTGTAAGAATGGATTAGCACACGAAGGTAGCAGGGATTGTCTGAGCTACAGAGAGAGCTGGAGGTGAGTAAAAAGTGTTTTGCAGTGAAAAAGTAGCTGCCTGCTCTGCCAGCTGCCTGCTCTCATTTGCTGGATGTGGATGTCAAGTCGGCCGACTCCTCCAGATATTTGGCATGCTGGATATCTGGCTGGTGTCGGCAATGTGTCAGAAATGTGTCGGGTGGCCGTTTTAATGCGTTGTTGAGTAGTTCACCCGTAACGATTGACGACCGCTGAGTGATCGCTGATTTACCCCTGATCACAGCCTGATGGTCGCCGAGCTGTAATTCAGGCTTAAAATCGTGTAGTGCGAACTAGGCTTTACGATCAAGCAAGTATCAGCACAACAAAAATCTAACAGAAAATATCAAAGAGACAGAAGTCGAAAGAAATGTTTGAATCTACATTTCAAGGCTTCAGAATGCAATCCTTATTACCTTACTGGTGGTGTGTTCCTTTAAATTCCACTTTTGCATACTAGTGCATACTAAACACATTGAGTGGGTGGAAAACCATATGGGAATATACAGAATCAATATTTGCAGAACACTGAACTTGCTCGGGACACATCTAAAATAAATAAATAAATAAAAAATGCTATACAAGTACACCAAAAATATTATGTCTCCATTTGGAAGGTAGTTGTTGAAGTGATACACATGCCAACTGATGGTGGGTGTTTCTTGGCCATGATGGTGTTGGTGTTTAATTCTCACAGTTGTGTGTAGAGGAGCGAGATCATCGATGCGAAACTCTTTTTTTTCAGCCCTGCATATTCAAGAGCAGAATGCTTCATTCATACTGTAATCTCTGAAGCAACGGTAAATATCCTGCAAAATCTGCAAAGATTTATGTTGGTGTTTGAAAATTTAATCTAACATTATGTATGAATCCTATTGTTAGCACACAGATTGATTTTCAAAAGTCTGTTTGTGTGTGAGTCAGCAGCTTCTAGGTCTAAAGATAAAGTTTAATTAAGCTAAAAGCTTCACTGGCTCCTTCATGACTCCTTTCCAATCCCTCCTCCAAACTCTTCTACCTCGCCGGAAACTTCTGACTAATTGGACGCCCCACTCGCCATAATCTTTGAGCCCAAATAAGATTAATGAGCAGACACATGCACCTATTCAATACCCCTTTTGGCAGTGCTCGCAGACTCTTAGGGAGATTTCTTGCTTGGTCATGTTTGTAAACAAAAGCTGATCTGGGGATTTTTGAGTTGCAGGTAGCGCTTGTGACGCCACTGCCGCTTCACAAATCTTTCCGCATCACTAATTTCTGCTGTCTGTCTGCTCTCTTCTCAGGCTATGGGCATGCAGCGCCGGGGACCGATGCAGGGAAGGCCTTTTGCATGTTTTATGCTGTCTTGGGAATCCCTTTGACTCTTGTCATGTTCCAAAGTCTGGGTGAGAGGATGAACACTTTTGTCAAGTACCTCCTGAAGCGTATCAAGAAGTGCTGCGGCATGAGCATCATCGACGTGTCCATGGAGAACATGGTGACCGTAGGATTCTTCTCCTGCGTCGGCACGCTGTGCATCGGGGCTGCTGCCTTCTCCCACTACGAGGACTGGAGTTTCTTCCAGTCCTATTATTACTGCTTCATCACATTAACAACTATAGGCTTTGGGGACTTTGTGGCCCTTCAAAAGAACCGGGCTCTCCAGAAGAAGCCCCTGTATGTGGCCTTTAGCTTCATGTATATCCTGGTGGGCCTAACTGTCATCGGGGCCTTCCTCAACCTGGTGGTGCTCCGCTTCCTGACTATGAACAGCGAAGATGAGAGGCGGGATGCCGAGGAACGGGCCTCACTAGCTGGCAACCGGAACAGCATGATCATCCATATCCAGGACGAATCACTGCCGCGGGGCCGGCGGAGGCGCGAGCCATACCGGGCGGATGTGACTGATTTGCAGTCAGTCTGCTCCTGTATGCACTACCACTCGCATGACTTCGGCAGCTCTGGGGGAGGGATGGGAGGCCTGGGCTGTGCCTTCTCCCATCAGAACTCATTCAGCTCGCAGCTGAATCCCAATCAGTACTTTCACTCGGTTTCCTACAGAATCGAGGAGATCTCGCCCAGCACCTTGAAAAACAGCTTCTTCCCCTCGCCCATCAGCTCGGTGTCTCCTGGCCTTCACAGCTTCACAGACAATCACCAGCTCATGAGGAGAAGGAAATCCATCTAAGACCTAACACACACAGGACAAGAGTTTCCATGTTTTATATACAAGGACAAACATTTCCAATGCTGCTCCTTACCAAATTATTTCAGCACTTTTTTTCCCTTTTTGGTTGTATGTAATATAAAAAGTATTCTTGGGAACAGATGAAGAACACTACGCAGAACAGCAAGCGTGGCCACAATGGGATGCAAAGCATGAAGCATGGATGTCTATTTTTTCAAGAGATTGCTCCATTTACAGACCCTATACAAACTACAAGACCTTCCTTATTTCAGATTTACGGTACAAAATTGATATATTAACTTTGGTCACATACCAAATGATGCACACTTGGGGAAATGCTATTTTTCAAAAGGGAGTATGCTTGTTTCACCTTAACTTGAAGAAACTTTTACCGTTATGTACTATTCCATTGCCTCACTGCAGACAGAGATTTTAAAAAGATCAGGTATTGTTTTCTATAAGCAATCATATATTCCAATGGTTTCACCATACATCAAGCCAAAATATTGTTGCCAATATTAGCATGTGCATTAGATGTCATTTAATGAGTGTGCCATGGTTTTGTGTCATCCTTTAGTTTGTTTATAAAGAACTGCTGTATGAAGAGTATCTTTGTCTTGGATTCAAAGGATCATGCTGCTGTTATTTATATTTTACCCTCATCTAGAACAACAAAGGCTTTAATTTCACCCACATCCTTTTTCATATTGAGTATTAAAACTGACCTAAAGGAAAACCCACCCTCCCCACTACCTGATTAACAGATTTGCCAGACATTTGTGCATTTTTCTCCCATTGACATTCATATTGGATTGATCAATTAAAGTGCATTCCTCTCTACAGTATTTTGCACCTATAGGGATATAGGGAAAACTCCATTGTAAAAGAGGCAGAGACAAGGTTCTTCATATTTAGTCTCAGAATGCAGTGCAGCTAATGATCTGAAACAAAGGGGTCATTCAGTTATTTAGTATTCCATAAAGTTAGGGGACACACAAGAGACAGAATAAAATAAATATTCTGACTTTTAGTCCCCAGCATGGATCAAACTGTGTAACACTGGATCCTGCAAGTCCCATGATGCAACTGTGAGTTGCATCTTTCTTTAGACCCTCACTGCCTCCTAAATGCCAGCTTTTTGCAAAACCTACACCTCCAGTTTCTAATGCAGGTTTTCATTTAACACATTCAAGTTCCAAGCCCAAGCTGATGACTTCACTATGACTTCACGCGGATTTCAAACTTGCTGAGTAGTACTCCTCGTGATGAGTAAACTGAACATGCGTAAAACTGGTAGACTGGCCCTTAAAGGTTGCATTGCAGCTATAATCATATGATCAGTGATGCCCGGTAGCTCCACACAAACCACCTTTGATTGGGTGCCAGTTGCAACAAGCTCTGAGAAGCATTGTGGGAAATGTACTAAAAGTACTAACTGGTTGGAGCCAATGAGTCAGGCTGAGGAAAGTGAATTTACAGGTTCTTGGAAAATTATCAAATGACTCAAATTAATGAAGTGAGCATCACAGTCTGATGATAAAAAGCAGTGTAAGAGGATCAGAAGGTGGATGTTTCCTTTAACCTGCAGCTGCCAAAGTGCAATTAAATTACTCCAGCTGAATTTATAAGCAGGGTAAATTGTACTCAAAGGACATGCATGAGCACGCTCAAAAGTCCTACACAGTGCTGTATGTGATGTGAGCCTGTTGTAGCTGACCCTTAGTCTGCTGATGAACCTTACTCAGATCCACCCACGCAGCAATGAGTGCAGAACTGTTAACAGTGACAGAAAAGCATGCAGATTTAAACTGACAGCCCTTGAGGTGTGGATACACTTTGGAGCCCTTAGTGAAACACAACCTGATAAATGCATCAACACAGAAGCAGGCAGAAGAAGTGAGTACGAGTTAATGTGAGAGGACAGCTGAAGATCACGGATAAGAAAAACTTAATAACATCAGTATGATCCTTTCAGTTGCTGTAAAATATCCGAAGACGAAAAGGGAGAGGTATGATTTTTTTTATGTTTGAAAGATATATGCATGAACTTTGTAAGATGAATGGGGAAATAATTTCAAACTAACTTTAGAAGTATCTTAATGGCAAATAGTCTTTAGAGTGATTTACATCATAAGCTGGTTTCTTTTGCCAAAGTCTAGCAGTTCTTAAAGCGATACACTTTATTTACTTGATTTCTAATGTTTCATTCAAACAAACAAATCGACAAAACATTGTACTAGATATCAATGTTTGTTCTCAGGTTTGAATGAACCGTCTCTTTTTGGTTTTCTCCTATAACAACAAAATCTCAATAGTGCATCTGCCAAACAATACAATGAACATATCAAATCCTTATTTCCAAATAGTAGCAATTTTCCACGAAATGCGACTGAGATGCATCATCTCTCTGGGGCCTGTGCTGCGTCTGATGCAGATGTGTACACCAGTGGTCAGTTTGCATTATAGGCATCATTTGTGAGACCCACAGGGCTGTAAAATATTTGTTAATTTGAGTCCTGGTTAAATGCCCGATGCGCCTTTTCTGTCACAGCAGGCCCAGTGCTAGCTGTCAAAAGCAACGTTTTCACTGAGCTCGTAAATAAAGCAGAATTAATGCGCTTAACACGATTTCTTAATGCTTTCTTAAATCTGTAAATGTATATTTAAGTATGTATCGTTTGTAAAGGCTGGAGCACATGGGAGCTTTTTAAGTTACAATACACAGGGCTGGGATCTATTTTACTCCCTTAGCAAGTTCTATACAAGTTCAAAATCAATAAATATTTCTGGAAACCAACAATTCTTACACCAAATTTCTGGACCTTGACTTTCAGGAAACATTACCTTCAGTATTATTTGCAGCCTAGTGTTTAACAGGCTTCTATTAATTTCCTGGGTAGCTGAGCTTGTCTCACAAGGTGAATGCCCCTCTGTTTGGGCAAATGGTAAATTGCCATGGATCCTATTTAGTCGTGACAAACATAACCAGGCGTGGAGTCCAAGATAAGCCCTTAAAGCATTGTTTCATTATTGGAACTATATTGGCTTATCTAAATATCCTGTACAATATGTTTATAACAACTTTCGGAATAAAAAGGCCTTTTCATGGCTGAGATGCATATGTATTTTTACACAATAGCATATGTGCCTTGAAGAAACAGAGTCAGCGTTTCTGTTGAATAGGTACATTCAAATATGGTGGCTGCGGATCTGTTTGTGCTTCAGCAAACCTGTTGGAAGATTATGATGGACTGGCTTTGGGGCTAATAATAGCACAGATGTGGTTAATGTATAGACTAATCTAAGTCCTGACAAACAAGTTCATATGGGGAGATGAAAATCCACATCTGATCTTATACGTACCTTCTATAACCATGTCCACACTCAGCGCCAAAGCAGAGTCACTCCCTTACTTGTTGAAGACATAACCATCCTACAGTATAATAGCTTAAAAGATCATTCCAGTGTATAGCAACTTGGTGTCTCCTTTTCATATGTTTGGCCATCACGTCTATCAGTACTAAGAACATTGCACTCAAAGAGATAATTACTGAAGTTTGGGAATACCACACCATTACAAGTGAAATGGCGAAAGGGACAAACAGGCAGATGATTTGAAAGGTTTAAGGTAATGCATGTGAAGCTCCATCAAGTAAAGACCAAAAACAACAATGAATTCTACTACTAAGTATTGCCAAAGCTTGGTATATATTATGCCTTACCACTCCATTGTTGTCCAAAACTATTGATGAACTTGGGCACTGAAGTTTATTTTGCGTTGATATGTACATATACCTATACAGTCCTGCTGCTGTAAAAACTCGCTAGAGCAACACTTGTGTATTACTCCCACTGTCTGTTTTTTCTCCTGGTTGAGGAACATTTGAATCTACATTGCCCAGCTGTTTTAGGAAATTATTTAGCCTACCTACCTGTTGTTTTTAAAAAACGTTGCATTAATGAATTTTTTTAGCCACTTGGGGGCAGCAGAACAAGCCGAAAACACAACATTGACATATTAAACCGTACAGAGTTTACATTTACATTTGACATTTTATTTAGAGACCTGATGGATGAAAGCCCAATATCCACTCTCCTTTTAGCTCTGTTGTGGTCTCTACCAAATCCTGAGGAAAACTATCTTGCTCCTTAGCTTGCTAGTTACTTGTACTATGTTCACCAACTAGTCTCTAACTTTGTCTGCCTGATGTTTGGAGGTGGACAGGCAGCGTCCAGTGGGTTTACCTGAGCTTTTTTCACAGGAAGCAGCTGCCTGCTGCGTCTGAAACAAGGTCATTGAGACCAAAACATTTACCCAAAATACATAGAAAAACTTTGTAGAGTTAAGGGGAACTGTTGGAAGAGTAATTCACTGTGGATACATCACTATCCACATTACAAGTAGTCATTTGATCCATTGATCCTATGAAAATATTGATTAGTGAATCCTTAAAGATTTATGTCTATTACAATTCACAGACCAACTTTTTGTTTCAGCTTTGGTGTGTACAATAAGGAATTATCACAGACATGTCCGATGATCACACTTTTGGTTGACTTGAGTATTTGCCTGTTAACACCTCTCTGTTGGTGTGTTCATTTCTTGCCTCACTGTAATGTGTTCCCAGGTCTCAGCTATAACTTTGGTGAATACAATGTTATTATAACCATTAAGAATGATGGCCAAAAGTTCAAAAAATAAGACCCAAGTTGTAATAAACCGGAATTATCCTTTAAACATTTCCAATAATGATAGAGTTGAGCGACTTTTTGCTTATAATAAGTGTCACTGATGGTGATCAGTGTCGTCTGCCTTCCATTCTTTTACAGTCAAACTTTTCCAAGCCACATTTTGGGGAATGTATCAGCCATAATGGATGTTTCTTTTGAAAGGCAGCAGCAAACAAATGAACTCCTTTGCTTTTCATGAGCTGCAAGTCAGATCGTTTGTCATACCCCTCCCACACACACACACATATTACTCAGATTTGTCTGCCATC